CAGGCCTTTCCAGAAGGCCACTGCAGCAGAGAACTGAGCTGTGGATTGAATCCACAGCTCAGTACTTGGCTGTAGAGGCCTTCCAGAAAGGCCTGACTACAAAATGCAGGCTGGAATGCAGTTGTAGAATGAAGCTGTTCCTTCGGTCAGAAGAAGTGGGCCGGCTGGGCAGGGCTGTTGGTGCCAGAGTTGAGTATAAAAAACACCCCTGAAAATAAGACTTGGTACCTCTTTTGAAGGCAAAAAATAAAATAAAATAAGACCCGGTCTTATTTTTGGGGAAACACGGGTAGGTTTCTCATTAGGGCAAAGAGATGTTCTGGGATTCTTATTTTTCTAAATATTTTCCACATGATTTATACAATCATGATCAACAGAATTGAAAGCCTTTCTATAATCAATGAAGCACATAGTGCCTTCTTTTCGGTATTCTTTGGCTTTCTCAATTATCTAGTGTGTGTCAACAATAAAGTTTTGTGTTTCTTGGCCTTCTAAAGCCAGCTTGAACATCTGGGATTTCTTTTTGCATGTACGGCTCTAATTGATGTTTGATAATCCTAGGCATTAGAACATTGAATAACAGAAGTGGAAGCTACCTTGGAGGTCATCTAGTAATTTCAATATTCTTAATTTAAATTAAATTAAGGATCAAATTAAATTTTATTAAATCAAATTAAATTAAGGATCAATATCCTTGTGCCTAGCATGTGAAATTAAGGATATTGATACATATATTAGCATAACATATTGTATGTGTGGTCAGAACCCTAATATTACATATAATATTGCCTTTTATCTGAATAAAATATTACCATTCAGAACTACATATGTATATCTGATTATAGTTATATTATAGGGATAATACAGAAATGTGAACTGTATTTATTTTGAGTTTGTATTTTGTTCTAATGTATTATGTACTCTTTATATTGTCTTGTATTTTGTATTCTGATATGGCCACATGATTAGTCAATAATTGATGATGATGATAATGATGGAGGAGGAGAAAGAGGAGGAGATTATATTTTTATTTATTCATATAAATGTGTACAATAGATTACACTTGTTTCATTATTATCCCAATAGTCTTGAAGTTTTGAAAAGGTGATTTTCCTAAAGTTACTTATTTCATGGAAGATTTGACAGGTGGAGTGGATGTCTTGATTTGCAACTCATTCCCTGCTACTTCAGTACGATTCCCACTGTTAGTCTAATGTGATACAATTCTTTTTCTCATTTCTGAATTCTATCAAATTTTGCTCCACACATGCTGGGACCCATTAACTATTGGTTGCTTTAGAATTTGGTAAGAGTTTAAAGCAGTGTTTTTCAAACAAGCGATTTTCAAATGTGTGGGTTTCATGATGGCTGGGGAATTCTGGGAGTTGAAACCTACACAGCTTAAAGTTGTCAAGTTTGTAAAATATTACTTTAAGGCAAATGACTGCTGATGAATTTTACGGCTCTAAAGAGGCTGGGTAGCACCCCAGATCAATGTTTTCCAAAACCAGATTTGCTAGGATAACATTGTGTCAAAAAAGGCAAAAGTAGTGCAAAAACATTAGATTTCAGAATGTTTTCCTTGTTTTCCAGTGAATTTCCTGTTATCTTTATTCCCTTTACTTTTTAAGATTAACATCCAGATGAAAAGTGACTTGAGCTGAAGAGGAAAAGACCAACTCTTTTCAGAGGCCTCCTTTTAATGGAAATCACTCTCTTTTCTGCCAGAAACCCCCCCTCCCCCCCAGAATTCAAACAACTTCAAATATCTTGTTTCTATCTTTGGGAGCTATTTCCAGAATTTCCCTCCTTGAGCTGGATGGAAAAACCTGAGCCAGAATTTGAACTGCTTTGCATTTGGTTTGAACTTCAAGGTTTTGGTAAAAAAAGCCCTCCCCCCCCCTTGCTAAAGCCCTCAAGATGCTGCTCAGCAGCCTCGCAAAGGATGGTGGGTAATGAGGGGAGAGATTCAACATGGCTTCAATCCATAGAGCTTGTTCTTGGCAACAGAGACATTGCCTCTTGGCAGCAAAGACACAGACACCTGTGTTTTTCCACCCACAAACCTGGGGTTGTGTGTGCCCTTCTTTCTTCTTCTTAAAGAGTGGGAGGAAGAGGGGGAAAAGCCAGCCTATTGCTTTTCTCATCCCAGGCAGCCTTGGAGAGATTGTCAGTTAATATCCTGCCATCTCTGATTGTGCTTTGAGAGGTGTGACGTTTGATAAGCTCCATTTAACTTGCTTGTTCGACATTGTTTAAATAATTCAAATACAGATTGGCTCTTTAGAAGGATTTCTACTCTATTGACCTTTGTTGGTCGCATGTTACAAGGAAATTAGGGAGGGGCCCTGTCAAGAGGCCTGTTCCAAACAGGCAGCTGAAAAAGAATCAGTTCCAGCTTTTAACTCAGCCCAAGGCACTCATTATTTATGGCCCATTGAAAATGCTGAGTCTGTTAATCTTTCTCCACAAGATTAGGGCTCTTACTACCAGATTTGGGCTGCAAATGTCTATAGAACCACTAGAGGTCAGCAAAAATGCAACCTGCTCTATTCTGCCATCTAATGATTGACTGGGTTTCTGCAAATATAGAACTGGATTTCCCATATTACCTCTGTACAGGAAATAAAGCACTAACTGAAACAATTTAAAATAAACAAAATGCTGTTTTGCTTTCAGAGATCTCATATATTGCTTCATGAGAAATGTTCTCAGTTTATTACATTTAATTATACAGAAATGGCTTCCGCTAAAAGAACACTCAGGATATGTATCTGTTGAAGATCAAAGTTAGGCAAAACACCTGGAAAGGATGTAACATGCCCCTTTCAAAAGGGTGGCTTACCCCTCCCTGATACTCCACTCATTCCAATGATTTATCTAATAATGAGAGCACAGATCTATTGAGTAGATCACATCATCCATATGCTGGATAAGTACATACTGAAACAGTTCCTTTTAGGGGAACTGTCTGCTAGAAAATGCTTACATGCTGTAGAGAGCAATAGAAATGTTTCCAAGATCCTGAAGTTGCCTAACATAGACATGACCACCTGGGAAATACTGGCATAAAATTGCTGCGCCTGGTATGGCCTCATCCCTAAAGGCTGTCAGGTTTACAAAGTAAAGTGCACTATGGAAGCTCAACATGTTTGCCCAACTTATGTCAGAACAGTCCATGCCCAAATTGACCAGTCATCTTTGGACTTGTCACATTAAGTGTCAATGTTATGAATAGTATTGAAATATTCATTAAACACAAGTAAAAGGACATATATCCTTGAAAATCCACTCATAGGAAAGAAATAGATTAGCTGTTGCATTCCAGGAACAGAAAGGTGGGAGAGCAGAACAGCAGGAGGATTGTCTAGTGGAAGAATATGGTAGCTTGAATGCTCTGCAAATCTTCAGTCTGTACTGGATTTTCTTAGACTTGATTTGAGTCATTCCAGCATATGCAACAGACAGAAGTAGCTTTAACTGTAAGTATAGATATGCTCTATTCCAAATCCACAAAACATACTTAGAGCTAGACAGCTTTTAAATAAATGAATATTGCTTAAGTTATTCTATTAGGCATCAATAACAATTGTGAACACTGTCACAGAAATGATTAATGCAGTAATACCTTGTCATCCTTTAAGGTGATTCCAACATCAGAATGATAATATTTTTATCAAATGTTTGAGTTGTCAACAATTTTAAAATATGATACATTTGAAAGGTGCTGTAACAGTCATTTATATAATGTATCTTGGTGGTGCTGGGATTTGTGTGTTCAAAAAATCAAGGTGGTGGTTGCAACCTTGTGACTGAGGACTCACCCCTTTTTTACATGCATAATGCAAGCAACACATAAACAAAGTGACAGGGCTTTGATTGAGGAGTTGTAGTTATCACCTTCATTTTTTGACTCTCCCCTCCTGGATGACCCTGCATACCATAATTGTTCTTAATGTGTCAGAGGTTCACGATTACTTGCACTTTCCCAAAGCCTCGGATGCAGTTTTTTAAGACTTCCATGTTTGAATAAACGATTTGGGTTTTAAGTGTGTTCATAGAAAAATATTAAATACAAGACTAAAAAAAAACAAATTAACCAAGTATAATCAAACTATTATGTCTTTAGTCTCACTTCTGATATGTCTTTCAAAGGCCAGTGCCTCATATTCAAAAAGGTACTCCCCTAATATTAGAGATTCCCAATGTCAAATTTTCAACCTAATTTTTTCATATTATTTTAAAAACCAAGCTTTGTCTGTTTTTTGGAGTGTAGCTTCAGCATGTTGGGAAAAACCTGTTTTAATTCAGCTAAGAGATTTGTACAGGCAATTTTGAGGACTATAGCATGAGTGGGGGAAAAATAGTTGTGTCCTCCAAGTCAATCACCTACTTTGATTTTGGTAATATAAGCTAAACTGTATTTTACTTTTGCCTTGAGATCCTTGAGAAGAAGGATAACTCTCTGTGGCATCAGAGTAACACCTGTCTAACAATTGTGTGGCATAAATTTCCTTCCCAAAATTTCTAGATTCAGTTCCTGAAAGCTCCAGCTTGGCTAAGAAAACGTCTCTCTGAATTCCAGGAAAACTATTGCTGGTCATTGTTGCCAGTACAAATCCAGCTCTGGTCTGACCCAATTAAAAAAACTGCTTCCTTTGCTGCAGCAGCATCATTTCCTTTCAAAGATGCAGCCTCTCTAGTACATTTTATGTGAACACTAAACCCTGTTTACCTCACTTGCCCCACAAAAGGGTTAAGGGGTGGTAGTACTGTTTGATTAATAGATAGCACTGAGAACCTGACCATTTGCATTCCTGGGTCTTTTGGTTTTCCTTCCATGATAAGAGAAGGCCAAAGTCCTCTTGCACTGGGCCAAGAGGACAAACAGAGCCTCCCAATGGAGTAGTTATTAATATAAAGCCTTCAGGTTTTCTGAACTGTTGCTCAGCAACTTGTGTTCTTTCACACACTAATCAATAACACTTTTTTTTTATTAGATGACTGAAAGGCCTCTAACTCCATCTGGAAATTGTTGCTGAAATGTAAGTCATCCAAAATGTTCTCACTAAAGACACACTAGTTACTATGCAATAAAGCTATAATGTTGCAAATGATGAACAATTCTAAAAAAGGTTTTCTTAAAAGTTGCAGTTGAAGGTTATCATTGTATTATTAATCCAACAGAGTTCTATATTTCTTATTCTCAGTAGAAAACTACTAATATTGGGTATTGTTTTCTATGTATTATTACTTATAGGATATAAGCTTCTAGGGTATAGGCTTAGAGGAACTAGGTTTGCAGAGCTACGTTGATGGAAAAAGTTCTAAAGTTTAGGTGTGAAAGTGCAAACAGACTGAGGACCAAATCCATGTGGTCATTTGACTGATGGAGACCCTCCCTCAAAAAAAAAGCCCCTGCAGAAAACTAGGAGTGGAGGTGGTTTGCTACATCCTTCAAAAGGTTATGGCTGGTTGCATCTGAATCATTTATTGCTGGCCCCAAATGTGGTGTTACATTTCAAGGAAAAGTGTTGTTCATTCATAATCTTCTTCCTATGGAGGAGATTCTCATCAATTTCTGCTGAATTCAAGTTTTGAAAAATATAGCTTTAACCCTAGGACTAGTCCAAGGTAACTTGGTTCTCCACAGCAGAAGAATTAAACGTCTCCCTTTATCTCACTAATATAGGTCATGATTTGCTGGGAAGCATGCAGAGGAGCCTTTCCTGGTGGTTAAGGCCCTCTGGTTTTAAATCATACTCCTCTTTTAATGGCAGCAAAGTTTCAATTTGCTTCATCGTGAGGCTGGAATAAAAGCCCCTTTTACTTGGACGTGGAATTCATAATGTTCTTTTGCCTATGCCTAAATAAAATAACTTGATAGAAAATCCTTCATCTTTAGTCTATTAATTTACGTGAAAGTAATTTTTCACCAAAAGAGGGAGATCGGTTAAATGGGTAGCCCAAGATCAGTAAAGTTCAAGCACATGGATTCTTTCAAAGAGAAACTTAAATGCAATTTTGACCTTTGGGTTGGAAATAATTGTCTGAAAGATGCAACCTCCTGGGGCTGGTGATAAATAATCCTTCTGCTTCTTTCTCCTCCCAAGTAAAATGGAACTGTCCTGGTGGAAGAGCTACTTCCAAGCCCAGGGTATTACATCATCACTGTAGCTGATAACAGGGAAGCACAATGGAGTGTTAGACTAATAGAAAAACATTGCCTGGATAAGAGAGGCTCCTGACAGCCTGGGATGAGGTAAAAAACCATTGTCTCCCTTGCTGTCAGCTGAGTCACTGAGCGATAGGGAATTCCAGAAGCAACAGGCAATGGAAGGGTCAAAACCTGTGTGGGAAGGAAACCTCTACTGGCTATATTAGAGATGGAGACATGGATGAATTGACTGACGGATTCACAAGAAGAAGACCCAACTGAAAGACATTTTCAGACCAGCATTATGGATCAATAAATCCCAGACTGTGTACTCAAACTCTTCATTCAGCCAGGGCAGAGAACTTCATTGGGCCACCGGATGATGTAGCATTCTGGCAAATTCAGCTGGATGAGCAAATTCTTTTGTCCTTAGACTAGACAGTCTGCCAGCTTTCCATATCAGAACCTGACCTGGGCTTTCCTCTCTATAGTCAGAAGTCATACCTGATTAATGACTACTAAGGCTGAATCTATGCCTAAAGAAGAAAAACAAAAACTAGAACTGATAACTGCATTTCAGACTGCAGTAAGAAGTCCAAGTGTCTTTCTTCTTCAACAGTCCTATATCTGAAACCTCTACTGAAAGCATCGTTTAACTCAGGGATATGCAACTTCTGGACAAAGGCAATAATTAATTTTTTAATGTGATGTCACAGGACAAAATCCAAAAACCTAGTAAATGGTGCAGGAAAAAAACAAAATTTGATTTCATTTCATTGGTATATAAAGTTAATTAAATTAATTTTAGATACCACAATGTATTTTCAGTAATTTCCCTCTTCTTTCATCTTAAAAATTACTAATACAATTTTTGGAAATTTTTGTGGGCTACAGCCAAGGATTTTGGATGCCATATTCAGCACTGAGGCCCCAGGATTTGCAAGGTTTCCACCTGATAGATGGGTGGAAGGCATTCCTTTAGTTCAAAGCTATTTACCGTAGTCTCTTATTTAAGAAATATTGATGAACAGCTCATGTCTAAATAGCAGATTTTGACTTTTTTTCCAGGCAGGCAACCACACTTCCAAAGAAAGCATCAGAGTGCAGCCACCCACATTTTCATTTTCTTTAACAGCCTGTTGAGTCTGCCTAAGTCCAGAGGCGTTTGGGTAAATACAGGTAGTCCTCAACTTATGACCACAATTGAGCCCAAAATTTATGTTGCTAATTATTAAGTGAATTTTGTCCCATTTTATGACTTTTCCCACCACGTTTGTTAAGTAAATCTCTGCAGTTCTTAAAATAGCAACATAGTTATTAAGTGAATCTGGCTTCCCCATTGACTTTGCTTGTCAGAAGGTCGCAAAAGAGAATCACATGACTCAGGGACACTGCAATCTTCATAAATATGAGACATTTGTCAAGCATCCAAATAAAGGTCAGGTAACCATGGGGATGCTGCTATGGTCATAAGTGTGAAAATGGTCAGAAGTCACTTTTTTCAGTGCCATTGTAACTTTGAACAGTCATTAAATGAACTGTTGTAAGTAGAGGACTACCTGTAAAAAGGTTAGAAGAGGCTGGTACTTTGCTTTGCAAGCTCCCAGCATATCTAGTCTAGTCTAGTCTAGTCTAGTCTAGTCTAGTCTATTTAAGTAACTGTAGACACGGTGCAGGCACAAAAGTACCAGCTATTATGTCCATTGATGATGTCATACACACTAAATAATTACTAGCTTTTAGCTTTTTGGTTATTTGCTTGCAGATGTTTCATTACCCAACTAGGTAACATCATCAGTGCAAATCAGTATGGAAATAAACAGCAGCAAGCCCCCCACTCACTTGCATTAATGATGTTATCAACTTGAATAATAAAACATCTGCAAGTAAACAACCGATATTAGACAGCACCAGGAAGTCCATAGTTCAATCCTGAGCTACTCTCTTTTACTAGATTACTACATTCACTTCTACTAGATTACTAGATTTATTTTATATTTTAATATTATTATATTCTTCTTCATTATATTATTGAATGATCTGGGAAATGTTGTTACTGCAGTGAGGTGTTGTTCTATTCACAGATAGACCAAGATTGCAGCGTGCCATTGGGCCCCACTACTCACAAGGTGTGTCCTGACATTCAAATTCATTGGAACAATTGCATAGGGCTTTCTAGTTTCACAAAGTGTGCACCACTATTCTTATGGGCATAAGGTATAAGACAATATCCAAGGACAAGTATCAGGAATTGACAGCTTCTCACCAAAGTAAACATTGGAACCTTCTGGTTATATGAACATAGCAACTGGTGTTTTATTAATCAGAGTTTAGGGTTATCATGTTTTGGGAACCCAGTTCTTGTCCCTGCCTAGTATCTCATTTCAGGATCACGACAGAGAGCTCCCCATACTCTACTTTGGTAAACAATCTCATTCTTTCAGGAACCTATCTGTGCTACAAGTGATGTTATAGACTTGGAGTTTCCAATCCCAAATAAGTTGAACTTGAGGAAAATATTTGGATGAAAGCATGAAAGGTGGGTGGAGTGAAGTAACGGTGCCCTTAAATCAATCTTGATATGAATATATGAGCTTTATATGAACTTTTTACACGTTGGTGTATTTTTTTTGACAACACAAAAATATTTACCTATTGTCTTGCCTTTTTGGGAGGTCTCCAGCTACATATGAACCACCTCTGACACTGTTTGGTTTCATTGCCCAGCCAGTTACTCAGACATTAAACCCCTAACCTGGCTTTTACTTCATCCTCTCTTCTGAGGGTTTCATTTCTTTTTTCTTCAGAATTTTAATTCATTCCCACAAGTCACATAGGGTAGAAAAAGGTGAGGGTCAGGGAGGCATAGGCTTTACCTAGGAGATGAAATAAGCAGCTGGGCAGTTCTTGGAAAAGAACCCACATGTACACAAAATAAATGAGTGCCCAGAATAGAGCTATTTGATTTCTCTCTCCCCCACTATTAATTTATCCCAAAGGAACTGTCTGTCAATGGGATGGATTTGTTTTGTCTCTGATCACCCTTGTCATTGTTATTTATTCTTTCTTGGGCTCTTTCTGAGCTGGACCAGGAAGGAGTCTTCCTTCTTCCTCTTTCTCAACAGATCCTCATCTTCTTCCTCCATCAATAAGACAAAAGCAAACAGCATTTAACAAATTGGGCATTTCCCTTTCCCTTTTGCTCTCATTTCCCTTTGTTTGGGTGTGTGTTTTTGACTCTGAAGTCCAGCTTTTCTTACACAGATCCTTCTTTTGAGACAGTCAGCTGCAAAGCTATCTCAAGACATGTTAGTGTTAGACCTAAGAAATGACCACATTTCAGCTGGAAACAACAAAACACTTTAAGATGGATCACCCCAGTTGTTGTGCCCACTATAAGAGAAATATAATTAGAAGGGAGAAAAAGTGTGGAGAGTAATGGGACCAGATCCAATCCATTCCACCTTCCCCATAAGCTGATGTGTTAAATGCTTAAAAAGCAGTTTTCCCCAGTCTGGTGCTCACCAATTATGTTAAGCTGCAGTTCCATCAACCAAACCTAGCCAGAATGGTCAGCTAGAAGAATCCAAGTTGGGAAAGCTTCTGTAATGCTTGGTGTGGGCAACAGATACTTAAATCTCAGAGTGAGTGGGTAGCAGAAGGAATGGACTCTTTGCTCCTCAAGCATTTCTCCCTCAAATTTCTTCACTCCAATTACTTTTATCTTTATGAGAATTTACTTCTGGTCATGATACACTACTAGAAATAAAAATACCTGGGAAGGAAAGGAATAAATTGGGGAAGTAGAAAGTATACCCTCTTGCTACATAAGACAAAGGCCTGTCATTCTTATGTCTCAGTGACATTTAGTCAATCTATTAGAATTGATTTGCAGGCTTTTCAGTCAATCTGGGAATAAATTGCTTCAAATAAAAAATAGATTTTGCAGAAGAACATGTATTGGAAAAGCAGAAATCACATGCCTGGAATATTAATTGATTCATCTGGAATTTCTTTGATTCCCTATTCCTGATCTGTTTCCCATGCCTCAAGAAAGAGACAATGTTGGACCAGAAAAATACCTCAACACTAGTATAGATGCACATTTGGAAGTCAAATGGCACAATGGCAAAAACCCTTTTCTTTCAAGAGGAAGCCATCCAGAGAGATTCAGTTGTATATACATTAATGATCCAGCATATCCCTATGAGAAGGAGGAATCTTTTCCTTTCTTTTATCAATGCTTGAGAAACAACATCTCTCTGAATTTCAGTCCAGAGCTCAACTACCTGAAATCCAACATAAGCAAGTCATTTGTGACCATGCTGAGACTTTTCCAGAACCACAGTAATTTTCATTCTGATGCTAATTGAAAGGAACAGTTAAGAAGTTAATAACAGGAAAGTTCTTAGATATTTTCCTTCATACTTCCAAATCATTTGGGAAAGATAACAGCCATCCAATTAACCACTGAACCTCTTTTGACACTTGCTTGAACCTGATGGCTTATCAAGAGGAGTATTTTGATCCCATGTTGGTCTGCACTCACCTCATCTCAGATCTTTGAATAATCACTCTTGTCCAAGGACACTTCACCTCATCAACTTGGGGAAATATTTTGCAAGGGCTGGAATTCAGACTAACTTGTCTTTTTGAACACTGGTCTTTCAAGACCATAAAACTTCCAACCAGCTGTTTAAATGAAGAGTTTCTGCTTTTGTTAAGCAGAAATCTCTTGTGACACAGCCACCAAACCTCAGGGAATAAGAAAGGGGTCACTTAAGATTAGAATTTTTTAATGGGACATATATTTATTCAAGTATTATACTAGGGCTGAAGAAATTGCAATTCTAACCTTTTAATTAGAGAACTAGATTGAAGCCTTTGATTATGACTTATTATTTATTTACTAAATTATATTATAGCTTTACAGCTTGTTTTTATTTCAGGAACTTAAAACACCAAGAAATCCCCATAGACACAATTCTGTGAGATTGATTGGATTAAGAGACAGTTACTGTCCCAAGTCATCAAGTTGAGGGGAGGTGTATAAGCCTGAATCTTTTATTCTTAATCCAACAGTTTGAGATAAATAAGATACTAAACCAAGGTTTTGATGAACAGCTGTTTGTGATACAGATTTGTCTAAATATCATAGTCAGAAGTCCTGCCATTTGTTCCTTGATAAACAAAATGAGAGAATATCAGGCATTTAAAATCCCCCTTGTCTTTACACAAGATAACACTCCTTTCAGACTTATAAACTTCAAATGTCTGAGTAAACTATTTCAAATTCTCTGAATCCATAATATGCACTACTGGACATGGTACTTGAAATAGGGTCTGACTATTGTGGACTATATTAGGAATGGTATTTCTTGAGATTTAGGAACTACATTTTGATTGAAATACAGTATTGTTTTGCAGTCATATCACACTGTTCTTTAACCACTTAATAATCACAGTATACATACCAGTGATGATATACAAAGGAAAAGCAATACTTTTTATATTTTGCTCAGGACGTTATAAATCTTCCCAATTCCAATACTGGTAGTCCTCAAGAACCATTCATTTAGTGACTGTTTGAAGTTACAATGGCACTGAAAAAAGTGACTTGTGATCGGTTATCACACTTATGACTGTTGTAGCATCCCCATGGTCACATGATCAAAATTCAGGTTCTTGGCAACTGCCTTGTATTAATGACAGTTGCTGTATCCCGGGATCATGTGATCATCGTTTATAACCTTCTCGGCTGGCTTCCAACAATTATTTACTGTAGGTAACTGTGATGAAGCCAATTATGTAGAAAGATAATAGACTGTCCTTCACTGGAAATCTTCCAAGCAAGGGCAGCCACCACTTGAGATACTTTGATGTTGGTTTAATTACTTTACAAACACAACATTTTCTAGCAAAGATGAGTGTGATTTTAAGCCATCTTTTAACCATTGCATACCAAAGATAATAAGTACATCAACTATTTCCAGATTGCTACCATCTTCATACTAAGAAACAAATATGATCATCCTATTCATGAACCAGAATAAGTTATGTTGCTTTTTTTAATGATTTAGAGAAGACCTCAAGCTATTTTTGTATAACAAGCTACTGAATAGCAACTGAAGCACGCACATGCAAGTGAGATTATTATCTTCAGGCCTTTTTCTAAGAGGCATCAGTTGCCCACTGCTAAAACCAGGATTTTGGATTAGTCTAGCAGACTTCTTGCTTGCTTAATTAAAATTAAAATTAATTTTAGGGCAGCATCATTAATGGCTCTCAGTTAAAGGCCATGAAGTATAATATGTGGGGTACCTTCTTCTTATAGCATCTCAATTTTCCCTTCTATTTGCAAGTCCCAAGCTTTACCATTATTTTGATTCGTTGCTGCCATAAGACATTTGATGCACACAAGAACAGATTTCTATCCATCACAGACCTTGAAGAAGTTCAGAGAGGCCCAGCAATTCAGAATGAGAAACATTCCTTCCCAAGAACTCCTCTGGAATGGAAAGGGGAGAAGGAGGTAGAGATAAGGACACTGCTAATTTGTCTTTTTTAATTGGCTTGGAATACTTGAATGAAAGCTGTTTTGTTATCCTTGGCTGAGCCTTGGCTGGCTTCCAACATCTCGAGCTGTGCCAGAGGCTTCTGAAGTGTGAGCCTCTGATAAATACTCTATTATGATTGACTCCATTTCATGTCATTTGGATGGAGTCTAGGGGAAACTGCAGGATTTATTATTACCATATTTTTATTTTGGGATTGGAGTTGGATTTGTGGTAGCCAATTCAAATGAAAGCTATTGAAACCTTTTTGTTTCATTTGTAAAAAAGACCAGTAGTTTTTTTTTTTTGTATTCTAACCTCAGTGGTTGAATGTATCTGTTCACGTGCAAAATATTCCCCATAGAACATATCCAGATTTAAGTTATATACATATTTTAAATAAATAAAATAAAATAAAAGAAATCTGGGACACTTCACATCCTCTTCACAACCTGTTTTCCTTGTTACTTTCTGGGAGGAGGCTTCGTGGTATCCGTAGCAGAACATCCAGATTCAGCCATAGTTTTATCCCATACAGCATTAACCTTGTGAACTCTCAAGCTTCCTCCTTCCGTTATATATTAAAGATGGACAGTATTTAATATTTATTTGCTACATATATATATAGGGATGTGGGTCTGTACATATGTTGTTCATAGTATGTTTAGGTGTGTGTCATGTATGTGTTTCACTTTTGAGAGCGGGCAACTAAATTTCATTTTTGATGTGTGCCATTGTGCCCACAGTAAAAAAAAATGACAATAAAGGTTATCTTATCTTATCTTATCTTATCTTATCTTATCTTATCTTATCTTAAATATAAGAAGTTGGATTAATGAGAGGTCAAGCTAGGTATAGTATCTTGCTTCTCCTAGTGAGCAATGTCATGGTTCCACATCGAGTTTGGAAGCTGCAACTCTCTTTGCATAATTCTCCAGCAATCTCCTACTGATTAAGTAAGTAGGAAGACTATTTCCAATAATGAGGATCCAGTTAATTGTCAAAGTTATATTCTCATTCTTGAATACTGTCTTCTATTTATTTTTAAAACAACTTTTCCTAATTTTATGTTCTGATATACTAAGCTCTGATTCCTATCTTCCCAAACCAGCATGGCTGATAAAAGTGGCAATATGGCAATACATTTCAAAAATATACTCTGTTTTAGGAAGGTACAGTGCTTTTATTAGAATCACAAAATTGTTGTTACTTGGCTACTTGCTATTTAGATGTATAATTAATCCATAATTATAGTAAAAAGTTTTGGTTGTAAGGTCATCCTGATTCACCCTTTAGAGTGCCTACATACATGCTGATTAGAAAATATGAGTTATCATGCTTAAAGAGAAAAACAAGCCAACAAAATAAGCTGTGATGCATGCTACATTGCTTGTGAAAAATAATTACTTTAATTTCCTGTGCTCCTCTTTGGAGCTACAATGCCAGTATCAATGCACCATCCTCAGGTTGCCTGTCTGTACAATGATAGAATACTCCCCTTCTCTTGCCATCCATCCAAACCTTTGTTTGACCATCTTTAAGAAGTCCCATTACATTTTCTATGCAAGCTGGCTTTAGTAGGGCGTAGCATGGGATGGAGTCATAATTAATCTGATTAAAATTTTTAAGGTTTAAAACAAACATGTATATAGTTGTTTCTTGCTACGTTTTAACTTAAATTGAATTTCATTTGGGGATTTGAAATCTATTGTTTCTCCTTGTTTATTTCTACCAGAATACAGCCCTAGAAAAAGTTTCTGGCACAGATTATGAGTGGGAGAAGATGACAAAGAAGAAAAATAAGGTATAAGAATAGGTTATTATTGCCAAATAAGGAATTTGCATCTCAGTAAGCCAAGCAGAGCAGTAACTCACTTTTTCTGGAAAAAGTAAGCTTTGATTCACAACTGGAAATAAATTCTTTTCTAGAAGACACGAACATTTTTTAAAAAAAAATTGATATGAAAACTTGTAATGTGAACTGCATTATTTTTTATGAACTGGAATGAAAAACATTTTCTGTTTTAGAGTGAGATAAAATGTTACAGGTGTTAATTAGATACCTCCTATGTAAGCAGTGCTAATTAGATACCTCCTATGTAAACAGTGCTTTTATGCAGTCCATATTTTGTCTGATCATCAGAATACCATCCCCACCTCCTCTCCTGCCTATAAAATCATCTTTATCCATCCATACCTAAGCGTATATGTGTATATACATACATATATATATACACATAGATATTACTGGAATACATTGTGCATTAGTGCATTTAGCAAAAGTAGCAAATTATAAGTGATATACTGCCCCAATCCTCCCTAACCATGCACCTGTATCTTTGGTTGTCCGACATAACTGATAAGAAGTACTGGGGCATGAGTGCCAATGGCAAGTCTGTTTTTTTTTCTAGGAAACCCATTTTCCATTCAAAGTAAATTTCTAGGAAGCTATTCTTCAAAATCCTTAAAAGGCATCTATCGTAATGTCTTGCAACATGTGCATGAATTTCATGGATTAATTGAAGAACGAATTAAAAGGCAGACAGTTAATCCATTTCGCTCCCCCCCCTTTTTTTGAAGTGATTTGACAGCCATAGTCATTTTCTGCAAGAATCTGACACTGTTTACATGCTATTTGAACTGATCACCAGGCTTTCTATCCTAAACCCAGCAAGATGTTTGATCTTTTTTTTTCTTTTTGTAGAAACATGAAGCTTACAGAAAAAAAAAAAAAATCCTGTCCCTCTGAAAGACAAAAAAGAGAAGAGGTCTGAAATTTGCTGTTCACTGAGGTACTTTGCTACAGTAGATAAGGATAAAAATGTGTTGAAGACCCGCGCCAGGTATCAATGATAGTATTTTTTTTCTTAACGTTATCTGGACCAAAATGGTTAAAAAGTATTGGTTGCTAATGCAGCTCTTGTCATTATTCTGGAATATTGTTTATATTTCAGAGATGTGGATAAAGTCTTCTGTCACTTCTGGCACCACTATACCTCCTGGGAGATTATGGGGAACTGTGGCTGACACTGGCCAAGTTAGCTTTGATGGACATTGTAGAGAGGCATGGTTCCTGTCAAGAGGAAGGTCATGTGGGGAAGAGAGAAGATCTCAAAAGGGTATTTAGGGTATTTTTAGAAAACTTCTAGAGGGACTCTTCAGTTCTGAGACAGCTTTGCAAGAGGGATTCTTAAGGCTGACTCCCTCAAAGTACAATGGCAAGTCAGAACAATACAACACGATACACAAAAAATGAAATCTATATCATTATGTTTCTGGGTTTCTTTTTTCTTACTCATTTACAAATGGTCATTTACTGATAATAGTCCAGATAAGCTACAAAAAGAAGGGAGAAAAAGACATATTCATGCCAGGTATAATTAAGCTGTAACCAAGTTATAGTGGTCATGGCAACAAATTTGTTTGTGAGTAATCATTCCATCCAATCATTCCATCATATGTATGTATTTATGTACATATGTGTATTCCTGTAAATGTACAAACTGTTTTTCACTATGAATTCCAAAGAAGCAGTACAAAATAGGATAAAAGGGCAACACTGTTAAAATGATTAAGCCACAACATTGCAACATCTTAAGATCAAGATAACAAAAAGAGATAACATGAGACTCAGCAGCATAGATCCAGTTGGATAAACAATTAAATTTTCAGCAGGAACTAAAGTTTTCTAAGACTTGGCATCATTTGCAGTTGGACTGGGAGGGAATTCCATTTTCAGGACAGTGAGCACTGGCCAAGTTTCAGTGGCGCCATCAAGATTGCAACTGCATTTTAATGATGGGTCTGATATTCAAGATAAAAAAATATTCAGATTAATTAGGTATCCAAGTTCTAAGCCACAGAGAGCTTTATATCAATAGAAGTACTTTGAACATAGATCAGTAACAAATTAGTGGCAGAGACAGCTACTTATGTCCTCAGAAACTAGATAGAGCCTCCACATATATACAGAAGCATATCCAGCTGTATACCAGAAGCTTTTAACATGATTTGAGAAAGAAAAATAATGCTGATTTTATTACAGTTGGGAGGATTGTAATCTCTGAAGGTGTTGGCCAGTTTAAAACGCATGAACTTCAGCTCCCAGAATTCCCCATCTAGAGTTGAAGTTGAATTCTGGAAGTTAAAATCCAAACATCTTAAATTTGCCAAGACCAAGACTAAAAAAAACCAAAACCTTGAATAAATCTACTGGATGATTTTTATGAACACTGTAGTCCAGCGTTTTTATAAGTTAAAATCTGGCTGCAGCCTTTGTTAGTACAAAGCAAATGTATATCAGATCATAATCTGATATCCTCTAGAACTTATTTTTATTTTGCTTTCAGATTCCAGCAGTTTACAGACCGTGGTGCTATTAAATCATCAGAGATAGTGAGCAATGCTGTTCCTGCATAGAGCAACATTTAAACCTTTTGATCTTAAACATTTATACTTATAGAGAAGTCTTTATATTCAACTCTTTGTTTAGTTTCATTTTTTTTAAATGTGAGAAGAAACAAATTTGAGATGAGCCCAACTGCAGTCTGAAATGATAGAGCTCTGCAAAGGCAGCATCTTGCCAGCCATGTGATAGGCTGTGAGAGATCATGCAGGCTCAATAATGGAAATTACTTCACACATTTTTAAAAATGACACCGCCAGCTCCTGGAATGTTTTCTGGACTTCCCAGTCTAACTTACGGTTTTAAGATTTCCTGATGGTCTCTCATTCTAGGACTAAAGCTGAACTCGCTTAGTGTTCCTTATGGTCAACCAAGCTTGGCCAGATGCTGCCACCTGTTGGAACTCAGATTAAATGTAAACCTCAAGATACAACCCACATCACATAGGTTTTTCACCAGTGGGCCTGATTGTAGGTGAAAGGTGGGGAGGTATGTTTTGAAATCTTTTTAGTGCCAGGCAAAGATTTTTTGAAAAACAATCTCATGGATTAATCCTTTTTAAAAACATGTAAGTCCTTCTAATTTTTTTACTGTGAATTTTAAGCTTGTTTTCCATTTTCTAGTTACATAAGGTTTGAAGTGCTTCCTGTATGCTACCTAGGTAACTTTTAGTTAATGTTGGATGTTTTGAAAAAAGCATGCAAATACATTTTTTTAAAAAAATCTCTGTCTACTCTAACATGAGAATAACAGGAGTGGAAAGCTTTCACTCAATTTTTTGTAAATGCCCCTTCCCCATGAAGTGCTGCTCCTGTCACCAGCAAGACAAATTGGAACCTGCCCCTTCACGGATCAGAAACAAATGGCCACACTCTTGACAGGATGTAGTAATAAGGAGATTAATTCACCTCACAAGTGGCTTCTGAGGGGAAATCCTTAACTCAATCGGAGGAAACCCATGGCCAGCAAAATTCTGCCTAGTTTTCTTCTGCTTCAGCCAAGCTCAGCATTTTGCTGACACAAATGATATTTTTTTCAGTAATCTCCAAATGTTTATTATTCAAGCAGAGAATTTTTTTGTTGGAATTAAATTAAAGGTAAATCTACCATCATATTTCTCCACTCTTGCCACTTCAGCCAACTGAAGTTACCATTTATGTGGTAACAGATCACTTGGCATTGCTTCACCTGCATGTTTTCCCTACCTTTTATATTCATTCATTCATTCATTCATTCACATTAATAGATTCCTTTGGGCTGTTCATTTTATTAAGGTACTTATATTTATGCAGTATATGTTCATCTGTACATACTTCCTGTGAGGTTTGATTTGTAGGTTTTTCTATAGTTCATCAAAACCTGCAAAAGATAGAAGATTGATGGTAACAATCCATATAACCCTTTCTTCACTTGCATTTTCAACAGTGGGTGCAGACCAGATAAATATATGTATTAAGTATTATCTTAGTGTGCCATTTCACTTTTATAAGCCCCTTCACCTTTTAAAAAAACTATGAAATTCATTGTCACAAGATGTGTTGACAGTTTAAAAGTTTTTAAATTATTTTTACCATTAGTTCATAATATATTAGGCTATAGTTGGGGGTCCGGGTGGGCAACATGCATCTGGATATATTTGCCACACCATTGTTTCTGTGTCCAGCTTTTGGGCTTTCTGGGGACATTACTTGGCCACTGAAGAAAAGAAGATTAGGGACTAGATAAATCTTTGTCTTAATCCAGCTGAGCTCTTAGAAAGTTTTGATGTTTAATGAGTTGCTGCTGCTCCCTGATAGCAATGAAGGCAACATGCAACAAGTCAGTTCATTATTGTGTAGAAGATTTTAGCACTGTATGTTCTAGGTAAGTAGTAGTATTACCATTAGTACACCCAGATTTATAGAGTTGGAAAAGAACTTGGAATTACTCTAGTCCCCCTCCTCCAATGGATGTAGAAAGCAGGTCGTAAATGCAACCCTAATAACTAACTGGCATTTGCCAGAAATGGTATAACTATTATCATTAAAGATCACACGGTCGATTTTTGCACAGCATTCAATACTAAAATGTTTTGCATAATGTATAGCCTACAATGTCCAATCATTGGTTCTTGTTCTGCCCTCTGAGACATCTGTTCCACCTTCAACAGCATAAATCCAGTCAGCTATTTCACATGCTCCTCATCAGTGTTGGTTTCCAGGCAATAACTCAGCAGTTCAGTACATGCTATAGGGACAAAAGAGCACAGGTTCAGTCCCTCCTGTAGAAATCCAGGCAGCGACTGCCAGTCTGTTTCAGCAAATCTGGCCTGGAATATTCTAACTCAGTACAAAGCAGTAAATCTGTCACCAACTGTCAGCTGATTCTGCTAGAGTCTTAAGACATAGCTGGCTATTGATTTTGTTCATCAGTGGATTGAGGTTCATTCACCAATGGCTGCATATGCATGCATCAGTATGGATTTAATTTCCCAGCTGTTCTATTTGCCTTTGTAATCAAGATTTGTAACATGCCTTTCATTGACAGCAAGACTCCATGGCCTCCCCCTCTCTCCCATGTAAGGAGTCGAGGCTTCTTAGCTGGGGCTGGTTGATGCAGGTTACTGCTCTCCCTTCTTTATTTCAACATCCCCCCCCCCCAACTGCTGGGTACAGGACAGTCCTGCCAGAAGAGAAGGGCAGACATGGGAATTGGATGCAGCTGTTCTTTGTTGTTACCTTGAGCTTCAGAGAACTTTCTTTCTCTTTCATGATTTAGATGTGCTCAGCTTGTTTTCTCCCCAAAGCACACGGGAGTTGTCCAAGAACTGGAGGAGGATTGCTGAAGGGAGGGAGGCTTCTGGGATGCTAAGGCACACAGATGGCCAGATCCCATGGCCTTCACCTTGCCTCGCAGCCGAAAATGCAGGGAGGGTGGCCTTCCAGATTTAGTTGGGCCTGTCCAGGTTGTAAAACAAAAACAACCTGCTTAGCTTCTGCTGATGCTAATCAGCCTAGCAACCTTGTAAAAGACAACTTTGCACAGCTGCCTGTGTTCTCCAAACCTACAAACAGTGAATGATATAGCTACACTGGAGGCCCAGCTTTGTTATTCCGCTCCATACTTCCTCAATCTGATGTGCATGGTCAGGCTGACCCGGAGTTCTGGGAATTGAAGCTCCAAAAGGTCCAGAGGGCCCCAGCATGGGGAAGGCCATTCTCTACATGTTCTAGAGGAAGCAACAAATTGCCAGCCTCTCCACAGACCCTTATTTGACTTTCTTCTCTATTCTTCAGGCTAACAATGTACAGCAGTGACTATTAGCACAAAAAAGAAAGAAAGAAAGAAAGAAAGAAAGAAAGAAAGAAAGAAAGAAAGAAAGAAAGAAAGAAAGAAAGAAAGAAAGAAAGCACTTGATTATGGAGAATTCTTATAGATGACAATATTTCTATTCAATTGATGACAACTGTACTGGATATTCTGGATGGAAAAAGTATGGCTCCCAATAATCTTTTTGCTATTTCCCCAAGTGACTGAAGGCACATGTTACTTTTTGGGGGGTGGGATGGGGAGGAGGGAATGGATATGGGAGATTTGTAGGGGGAGGGGCTACAGGGCAAAAAAGTTGCCTTATGTTTTGCAGAAATATAAGGCACTATTCTATCTCAAAGAATGCTGGAAAAAAACCTTAAAAATTAGAACCTTGGCCCACTATTTTTTAGATTCTAGTCCTTGGCATGCCATACAGGACCAGGTGCAGGCTTTAAACTGCTGAAGGTTGTGGCCTTACACTTTTCAGTTTAGCACAAGAATATGCAGAATCTGAGCCACAGACCCTTATATTGCTATTAGTTAGATTCTCTCTTAGAAAGTTGATGAAGCTGGATGCAGTGAAGGCCCAAAAGAAATAGGAAGTGCAGGATATTGGTGAGGGAGGAAGTAATCAATTACAAGATGAAACCCCAGTCACATCAAGGAGAGGGCAGTTTATACAAACTGCCACCAGAGTATGAAAAATCAGAGCATAACTGGCCTTGGATATAGCTTCTGCTGAAGTCCATTGTCTCTAGAAATGGGTAGTACATATGCAGGGTTTTACCTCCAAGTGACCTCTTCATCCTCTGCTTTATCCACAGGGAAGCAAATCCTGTGATGGCATTGAGGACCAAATTGCATGCAGTCTGAAGGACACAAGAAAGAGAAATGAATGTAAAATATTAGTTGGTTGTGAGGGTTGAAAAGATAGAAACAAAAGGGAATATGACAACGGGGGGGGGGGGCAGTAGAAAATCTGGTGCTTTCCACATCTTGGAGACTACTGTTTTCTTAAGTTCTAAGTAAAGGATCCAGTGAGAAGATCTTATATAATTTTTCATCTGAAAATATCTGGAAGATAATAGGTTGCATTTCTTGTAAACATGTTTGTAATAAAGTCATTGGGCATTTACTTGTTCTTGGGAAGAGATATGAAAATATTAATGTCATTCTTGAAATTCTACGGCAGGTGTCATGAATATTTGGGCCTTCATTTATTGCTGAACTACATTTCCCAGCAATCTCAGCCAATGTGAACGAGAATGAGCTATGCTTGGAATTTAGCATTATCTAGAATCATATATCCCCAGCTCCTATCCCAGAGCCTTGAAATGTGATGTCTTCATAGCCAAATACAATCAAATTATTAAACAATTCTGAAATTACAAGAGCCATGGTGGCACAGTGGTTAGAATGCAGTACTGCAAGCTACTTCTGCTGACTGCCGATTGCCAGCAGTTTGGCAATTCGATTCTTGACAGCTCAAGGTTGACTCACCCTTCCATCCTTCTAAGGTTGGTAAAATGAGGCCCAGATTGTTGGGGGCAATATGCTGACCCTGTAAACCGCTTAGAGGGGGCTGTAAAGCACTATGAAATGGTATATGTCTAAGTGCTATTGCTATTGCTATATGTCTCCTTTTCAAATGGGAAATTTATTAATGCACTCCACCAATACATAAACCAATTAGCTTATGACATAAAAATGGAACTCAACACATACACATGCAGGGTCTGTGACAATGTGATTGGTTTAAAAAGTGTGGCTGAAAAGCATTGTAATTCTATCTTCAAAACTCATTATAATATACCCAAAATGGTTAGTATACTTCCAGGAATATCGCCAAGGATATTTTTTCTGGTCCTTGATTTTTCACACACACATACACACACACACACACGACCAAAAGAACAAAATTTTGCTCAAAATAAAGCATCAAACTTTGTCCACAAGGAGTAATGAAGTTCACTCTATCTATTGATAGAGCCAGTTCACAAGCTATTACAGTTATGGATGCTACATCAGTATGGGTAAATGTCTCTTGCACCATTTCTTACTTCTGTATTGGAAAGTTTAAACATAAGCAAGACAGGAAGAAAATTGACTCGCTTGTGCTGTGGTGCTGGAGAAGGCTCCAACGTATTCCTTGGACAACTAAGGTGACCATCAAGCAAGTACTGGAGCTCATAACACCAGACATGTCACTGGAAGGAAAAATCTCAAAACTGCTTCTCACTTACTTTGACCATGTCATGTGGTGCAATTCATGGAGAAAGCACATATGTTGGGAAGAATTAGTAGTAAAAGGGAATCAGGCTGCCAAAGAACATGATGGCTGGATACAATCAAAGCTGACACCAGCCAGAGCATAGAGAAATATCAAAGAAGCAGTGCAAGATAGGAAGATATGGAGAGACCTGGCCCAAAGAATCACCAAAAGTTGGACACAACTAAATGGATAACATCAACATCATCATTATGAAGTTAACAAACAGCTTCTTTTAAACATTCAGAGGTGTTCAATAAACAGAAAAAAAAACTCTAGTTAGATAAATCTCAAAATTGTAAGAAACACAATAAGTATCCTTATTCACTCTAATAACACTATGTATAATGTCCTATTTAAAATACCATTAATGTGGATTTGTTCAAAACATATTTTAGTATTAATAATACTTCAAAGGTTTTAGGTGAGAAAATCCCAGGATTGGAGACCAAGCAATGGGTTTATAATCTGAGTTTATTATCTATTTTTAAAACCACAAAGTACCTAAATTCACATTAGTTTAGCCTATCATTGTGCAAATCCAGCCACTCTCTATCAAGATTGTTAAGTTCTCAGTGAAATGGCAATGATGCGAGAAGCAGTTGTAGTTCTCAGGAACCTCTTTATTTCTGTTCAGCATACTGGTTACAAGACACCGACAACGCCCAAGTCTCCCTGCCCCTTTTATAGGCGATCCCCGGGCCAAACTGCAACATTTGGCAAAGATGATATTAGTTGCCACTATTTTTATTATTATTAATGGTTTTAATATGAGAATCTTAATGGTTTTTGACTTTCACTTAAAATCTCCTTCAAATTGAGTTGGTGAAAATATTTTCCTAGCAATCATATGGGTATGGTTTGTCCTTACCCCTTTCAGCATTTTTTTCAAATTCATAGTATTAACCTTATCAATTTAGGACACAAAATAATAAGACAGAGTGAGTAAGAAGAAGCCACTATTATTGCTAACTTCACAATTATACATATCAATAATAGGAGAGAATATGTATAGTTCTTGTGTTGAACTGTTGAACACTCCCACATATGTTTTAATGGTCAAGAGGGACAGTTTGAAAAAGTAATGCATATTTTAAACATTCTTAAACATTTAATGCATTACTGTAATGCCTTTTGGAGGAGACTTGAAAGTGTTTTGCACAACGTCTTTTGCACTATTATTCAATTTTCGTCGTAAAAAGCTCTCTTAGCATTCATCTTTTAGCATACACTGAGAGAAGGGAGACACCAAGTGGTCAATTAGAAGAACGATACAATATTTTTTTTCTTGTCCCGCCTTCTGTGTTAAACCTCTTACTGGTATTGCGACAGGAAAATACATATGCAGATTTGTGAGTTTGAATCAGTTTAATCCGAAGCTAAATCCCCTGAATCCATCTTTGGTGGATTGACTGGTACTATTATCATAGTCCTAGGCACTCACGTATATTCTCCCCTTAATATGACTGCAGGGTCCCACATCAAGCTGTATGTTACATAGTGACTGGCAGTAAACTGAGGGCATATACTGGTCCAGTATCTCATTCTTTTATAAACCACACTGTGCTTAAATGGTTAGATGGCCTAGACGTTGGTATTTGGACATAGATCTTTTAAACATTTATATTTTATTGTGTTTTACTAAATCTAAGTGAAATGTTAATATGCTGTATATTGCTAGCCCCTATATGGCAATGCCATACGCTAAATAAATAAATAAGATGTACCTTTATTGATTGAACAAAATATTTCCATTTCAGCCAATTCTGCAATTACTCATCAACATCCACAACAGGAAAAGATGCAGGAAAAATGGCTTTTCCCCTTACTTATGAGAAAGAATATTTGGCTGCAGCTGCCACTTGCCCAGGAGAGCAGAGCAGGCAATAGATTTTTTTAAAATGTGTGCCAATGTGCCTACAGTAAAAAAAATGACAATAAAGGCTATCTTGTCTTGTCTTACCTACCTTACCCTACCTTACCCAACCTTATCCTATCCTATCCTGTCCTGTCCTGCCTTGCCTTGCCTTGCCTTGCCTTGCCTTGCCTTGCCTTGCCTTACCTTACCTTATCTTACCTTATCTTATCTTATCTTATCAAGACCCATCTATTTTGTGTTTAATTTTCTTGATCATTTGTAACTGTCCATACATAATTTAATTATATTCATAATTTTACTCATCATTTGTATTATAATAATTCACTTCTGCTTTACATTTTGATATACATTTTATATGCTATTTGTACATTTTATACATTTTGTGAATTTTATGCATTAATGCTGTATTCTGCTACAAAATACAAAGTAAATAAAATCAGTGCTACATCCTAACCTTTCATCAACAACATATTGATATGTGCTTTTGTGCATATTTGATGCCTAAATTATGTATAATTATAATTAGTATAATAATTATGCATTATAATTATTTAAAGCAGTGGTTCTCAACCTTTTTAATGCCCCGACCCCCAACCGGTCGTAAGTCGAGGACTACCCAACCGGTCATAAGTTGAGGACTACCCAACCGGTTGTAAGTCGAGGATTTTCCCTGCCCGGGAGTGCCGCGCATGCGTGGTGCCGCCCCCTGCACGGGCCGAGGCGTAGCTGGCAAGCGGCAGAGATGGCACAGGCCGACCACTGGCTGGGCCACCAGCTGGCCCAGCCCAAGGGAGATAAGGCTCCCACGGGGCCCCATGCGCGCCAGCAACCCTCCCTGTGCCCGCCAGCCTGCCACCTCCCACCCCTGGCCCTCTTTTACTTACATTTTTAGTAGTTGCTCAGCAGGGAGGGGTGGAAACTTCCAGACAGCTCGCCTTCACTGCAGACAACTTGCAGCACCGTTTGCAGAATGGGACTTTTGGCGGGCTCAGCAGGGCAGAGACAGTCTGGACAATTCCTATTGGCTTTTGAAAGCCAATAGAATTAGACTCTATTCAAGAGAGTCTATTCTATTGGCTTTCAAAAGCCAATAGAATAAAAGGGAGTAGCACAGCTAAGGAAAGGGGGAAAAAATGGCGGACTGCGTTGTTTGGTGACCCCCGTGAAATGGTCGTTCGACCTCAAATGGGGTCCCGACCCACAGGTTGAGAACCACTGATTTAAAGGAACAGTTTAAATGCTTACGGTAAATGCATTCACTAGTTATCAGAATTGTGAGACAGCCTAGGACAGTAGTTCTCAACCTGTGGGTCAGGACCCCATTTGGGGTCGAACGACCATTTCATGGGGGTTGCCAAACAATGCAGTCCGCCATTTTTTCCCAGCATTTGCATTTTGCAGATCTGAAAGACGCTTGCTAGCCTATATGGGCTAGACATTCAGCCACCCCCATTAATCATGTTCATTCCCAAGTCACAATTTAACGCCTTGGTGCATGAATGATTACACATGACTGTACTTCCTCCTTAGCTGCATCCCACACAGATTGTACTGAACTGCGCATTGGCAGCCGTTCATCCACCTACTTGCACACACAGCTCTTTGAATTTGCATGACAACCTTAACACCAGTTCAGCTAGTTAACCAGCTGGCAGAAGGTGCAGGAGCAGCAAATCTGCCCTGGAAGCTGCCAGGTGGAGACTACCCTTGGAGAGAACTTTCTTAGTTCATAAAACTATTGGTCTGATTCCTTGATAGGGATTTCCCAGCTGTAGAGAAAAAAAAGGAAGGTGCAGCTCAATAAAGGATCAATGAATTATATGCACAGCTCAGGTTCCATCTTTAACATTTCTTTTTTCTTAAAAAAATAATTTTATTGAACATTACATATACATATAAAACTAATACAAACTATAAACAAAAAAAATTGCAGGAAAAAAGAAAAACGGAGAAGAAAAGTTTAAAAAGAGAAAGAAAAAAAATGTAACCTCCCCTTTCTTCTCACCCCTTTCTTCTCAGCAAGTATAAGCAATTTTAACAACTTATTACCCTCTCTTAAAATACAACAGTCTTTTCACTCTGTGTCTCACCCAATTCTTTATAAATGCATCTTTAAAACTTCACCTTCCATCCTATTCAGTAAAAGTCCAGGAAGAGTTACCACAAATTTATTTGTTATAAACTTGATCTAATAAATACATTTGAATTCCTTCCTTTTACATTATATCTC